TTATTTTCTTTGTATAAGATTTAATTCACATGGTTGTATATAGCTTGGAATTAAATTGTGGCATGTTATTAAATTAGACCTTGATATGTTTATTAACATATATTAAATTGGGAGTATTTGAATAAGTATTGAAACTTTTATTTAATCTTTCACTTATATAAAAATTTAATTCACATGGTTGTAACTAGTATGGAATCAACTTATAATGTGATATTAAATTAAGCCTTGGTATGTTCTTTAACATATGTGAATTTGAGAATATTTGGAATTATTTTAAAATCTAGAGAAAATTAATTAATTAGGTTAATTAATTTTATTTTAAATGTTCTACTCACTTAATTGGATTTTTAACTTGATATTGTTGATGAGCTTGACATGTTCTATCATATACATTAAACTGGGAATATTTGAATAGGTTTTGAGACTTTTATTTAATTATTTTCTTTGTATGGAATTTAATTCACGTGGATGTACCTAACTTGGAATGAACTTGTAATGTGATATTAAATTAGGCCTTAATGTGTTCATTAACATATATGAAAATGAGAATATTTGAATGAGTGTGGGAAACTTTATTTAATTATTTTCTTATATGAAGTTTAATTTACCTAGTTGTAATTTAGGTAGAAATAACTTGTAATGTGATATTAACCTAGGCATTGTCATGACCTTCGACCTATGTCATTTTTAGAATATTTGAAGTTGCTTGATAATCTTGAGAATTTAACTATTTAATATAATTAAATTCTAATTATATGCTTCCATTGAGGTAGTTAGGTATTGAAGTTGATTTCATGCTTAACTTGTAAATTTGAAACTTGTTGAATGATTACATTATAGTATTTCATGAGTATAAGTTATAGTTTAACTTGCTTATATACACATTTTATATTTAACATGTCGATCGTATGCCATTGTAGCTTGAAGACATAGGACGAATATTGTGTATTTTACATGACTTGTTTGTGCATGGTAGTTGACTAATATATTGTGTATATGTATTATACCTTAATGCACAACTTGTTGATTTTAGGAAAGCTTACATGGACATTGAATATGTTACGACTAGGGCATGGCTCTAGTACGGGGGATGAGAGCTCCCCCTACAACATATAGTGCGCATTGGGTGGTACCTTGAGGGCTAGTAACTCAAAAACACCAATATACGATTTTATTCCGGGTTTAGTATGCACTAGGTAGAACCTTAAGGGCTAGTAACCCGAGATCACTTGTTTGGTCATTGAGACTGTATGTCCTTGTCTTTCTGCCACTACTTAATTTCGCATTCAATTCTAAGTTATTTAATATGGATTATTTATAGCTTGTGATGTGGTGTCTGACATTTCAGTTAGGTGTAATATACATGTGTTTAGTATACTTGCATGCTTTGTTTTTCAATACAAGTTAATAGCACTAAATTGTTATAACTTGTTATTTCCGTATTTTAGATTTTAAGTTGTTAACTTTGATCATTTATTCCTTGATGCGTTGTATTAGAAGTTCTAATGTTAGTTAAAATTGCATTGATATTGTAATTTGGGTATTAATTGTTTAATGTAGCCTAGGATGATTCCTTAGACTCATTTGGAACATAGACGTTAGGTAGCATGAACCATTTTGGTTGTTTTCGCATTATAGGTTGCAAGTTGATAACTTTGAATACCTATGTCTTGTTGCGTTACACTATATGCTCCTATGTTGTTTAAATTACATGAATGGTGTGGTTTATGCTAGAAATGATCTAAGGTAGTGGGAACATTTTTCAGGTACAGAAATCAAGATTCGAAATTCACATTATGCTTGGGATGATTTGTAGATTTGAAGTTCATTATTTCATGCAAATGTTAGCAGGAAATGCTATTTGTAGCTTTATATGTCAAAACTTGTATATTTGATTCTAAATATGTAATATGTACATAAGTACACATTTTATGATGTATTTAACATGTATGAGATGAGACCATAGGCCATGGACATTTATTTTACATTCTAAGTACTTTTACTTTCAAGCCTATTTTGTTGAAAAATAGAAAAATGCAATGCTTTAACTCCATTACATTTGCATGGGTGGTGGGAAGTGGGTTTTAACACTTCCATAGGGTCTCTTCAATCATGCATGAAGTTTGGCCAAGGGTCAAAAGGTCATTTAAAACACTTTTATGATTTTAAGTTTCAAATTTTCATTTTAAAATTCATTTTAGGGATTTTTGAGTTTTGATAGGTCGAATTTTGCATCGGGCCTTTATGGGGCCTACGGGTCATTCCCGCGCTCTTAAAATCACTAAATACATTTACGTATATAATCGTTTCAGTCTAGAAATGCATTTAGGGTCAAATAAACACTTGGTGCAAAGTTTTTTTTTTTTTTTTTTTGTCGTTTTTGACCTAAACTGATCCAGGGGCATTCTGGGCATTTCACAGTGCGTTTTAAATTTTTCTTTCGATATGATCGGGTAGAAAACTTGATTTTAGGGGGGGTTTATTATTTGTGTTTTTGCAAAAAAGTCCATCTTGATGTCCAAATTTGCTCTCAGTTCCAGCAAACCTCTACTGTCAAGAATATTTTTTACTGTCAGCCCATGCGCACGCCCAGCACGCGCACGCACAGCCCATGCGCACGCGTATGAAGGGGCTGCTTGCTGCCGCTTTGACGTCGACTTTTCAAACGCTTGTTTCTCATTTATCTGGACTCCGTTTTTGGCAATTTTTTAGCCTAACTTGCTTAATTTTTCATCGTCTATCCAACGGTGTACTCGGTTACACCTAGATCTTTTTGAAAAATTACCAGTTTGCCATTTTAGGCTTTATTGTTCATTTTTCATCGTTTGGCCATAACTTTTTCGTCCGGATTCTGAATCAAGCGATTTTTGAGTCTAACTTGATTATTTTTTCGCTGTCTATCCAATGGTGTGCTCGATTGTACTTGAATCTTTTTAAAAATTTCCATTTTGCCCTTGGGGCTAAACTTGTCCGGTTTTCTTTTTAATTTGCTTCCACTTGCTTTCTTTTGAGTTCCGTGACTTCCTATGAAGTCACGCTTGTGTCTTGGGGATGATGTACATTTCTAAAGACATTACTTTCATGTAAAAAGACCATTTTGCCCTTGGGGGCTCATTTGGTCTTTTTCTAATATTTTTCTTTCGCGTTGGTTCTTTTTGAGTTCTGTGGCCTCATGGAAGGTCACTTAGGTGCCCTAGGGATGTTGTATATTCTAGAGACCTTGTTTATGCTTTTGCTTCCGCATTTCAAATCCGTTATCGGATCAAACTTCGTTTCATCACAGGACGCACTGACTTGGAAAACCAGGGCCGTCATAGTTTGTGTTTTACAAATAATTGATAATTGCATATAACTAAAGACAAATCATGCAAAATATGTAAATTAGTTCACAAAATTAGACTGTTATTATTAACAATTAATGACCCCTATTTTTTCCCTATCAAATCTATAAATAAAAGGGCAAAGGGTATAAAACTCAATGTTTTAAAACAAACTCTTGATAATGCAAATAATCTTCAAAACCATGCAAATTAGCTCAGAATTAGGTTGTCATTATTAGCAATCTTAAATTACTAATCTATTCATCATTTTAGTTAAAAAATCAACATTTGCAAAATGCCAACAAAATTATTTGTTAAATAAAACTATTTTTACTATTGGAAGAGAATTAGGGAAATGAAGAAGCATTTAATTTAACTAACAAGCTAAAATAAATTTAATAATTTTTTCCCTATCATTTCTATAAATATTGTGATTTTTTTAAAGTCGACATGATATTAGGCTATTTGAAACTTTTTTCTTTCTTTTTTCTTTTTATTTATAAATAAGGTGTTTTTGTTTGAATTAATTGTGTAGTTTTTTTTTTTCTTTTCCAAAACTATATTCATGCCTCATGGTTTTTAGGGGTTGCTTACAATTAAGCTTAAAAAGGTATAATTGTAAAAACATAAAAGTATTGGCAATGAATCACGTGCATGTTATTACAGATGTCTTGATAACTCAGTGGGTTAGTGTTTCCGGTAGATTTTGGAGTGCCAGACTTCGACTCTCTATATCTACTAATCTAACTTCAACACTTATTGTCTTATAAATATATATATATATATATATATATATAGTTATTAAAAGAAAGAAAAGATATTAAATATGTTATTTTCAAGTTGAGATAAAAATTAGTGTTAATGACTAAGTCATGCAAAGCGATAGCGTGCAAAGGGTAAGAGCGAAGTGTCCGTGGAACACGCGTGATAGTAAGACCCTTTTAAAAGAATTGTGTTACTTAGATTAATGACCCAACATTATCCTAACAATCATCCCAAAACACAAGCATTCTAAAAAGATGTGGTTTTCTGTATATATAAGTATTTCTTTTTTGATCAAATTTTAAATTTCATTATTTTCTCACTCTCTTCCCCATTACGTGTGACTTAAGCCCAAAAAAAAAACTTGCAACACTTTTTTATCAAACATGTTTTCATTTTTTACTTCCAAAAATCTTGCAACAAATATACATTACTAAACATGTTTCCGAATAATATTGAACATACTACAAAATAGAAACAATACTTTTATTTTGAATTAAAACAAAAACACGAAGCAAATACGTTTGCAAACATGCACTCACTCACTTAGGTTGGAGTGAAGCAAATTCATAAGAAAAATAAATATAAATAAAAATCCAGCCAAAATTTGATACCAATTTTTGTAAATGGCAAGGACACAAAGTTTGAAAAGGATAGTATTGTCATTATGATTTAAGTATTCAACCAATTACACAATTGCCACGTGCATACAGTTCCATCTCAAGAATGGCACTGTAGAAGTTAGTTCACTTAAATTAGGTCATATATATAATATATATTTATATATATTACTACGTACATACATTTTGCACGAAATCCCGCTCTTTCCTTGGCTGGCGAATTCAATGCCACAGCGGTATAACCATTAGATGGGCGTTGGGGTAGTTGCACCTCTCTCTCTCTCTCTCTCTCTCTCTCCCTCCCTCCCTCTCCCTTCTCTCTAAACCAACACACAGTCCCTTTAAATTCTTTAGCCCCATCACTTTATGCAAGGCATATTACTCTCTCACTTCTCTCTCTCTCTCTCTATCCAATTTCTTGTAAAGAAACTTCAAACCATTCCTCCTCCTCTTACTTAATTTCAATTCTTCATTTTTTTTTACCATTTTATTGGTCCACCATCTACCTTTTGCTATTCTTCTCTAAGATATATTCCTGCTACACTTCTCAATTTCTATTTTTATTTCACAAATTCAATATATGCTCAAACTCGATCTGAAGTGGGTGTTCAGTATTAATTAATTAGTTGTTAATTTTGGTTCGGTTTTTGAGGATCAAAAATGGCGGAGAAGAAACAGAACCATCTCCCTGAACCAGCAGTGAATTCCATTTCAGTGGATTCTCAATCTCAAAGAACAAACCACAACCACCTCCCAAACTTCCTGTTATCGGTACGGCTCAAATATGTGAAGCTTGGTTACCATTACTTAATCACCCACGCCATGTACCTGTTGCTCACTCCACTTCTCGGCGTCGTCTCACTCCATCTCTCAACGCTTACATTCGAAGATCTGCTCCAGCTATGGAACCTCTTGAAATTCAACCTCGTCTCGGTCATATTATGCTCGGCACTCATGGTTTTCTTGGTCACACTCTCCTACATGACTCGTCCCCGGAAGGTCTACTTGCTCGATTTCGCGTGTTACAAACCGGAACAGGCTCGTATGTGCACCCGAGAGGTGTTCATGGAGCGGTCTAGACTGGCTGGGGCTTTCACGGAGGAGAACTTGGCCTTCCAGAAGAAGATTTTGGAGAGGTCCGGGCTCGGCCAGAAGACCTACTTTCCGGAGGCTGTTCTTAGGGTTCCGCCCAACCCGTGTATGGCGGAGGCCAGGAAGGAGGCGGAGATGGTGATGTTTGGAGCTATTGACCAGCTGCTGGCCAAAACTGGTGTGAAGCCTAAAGATATTGGGATTGTTATTGTTAATTGTAGCTTGTTCAATCCAACACCTTCTCTCTCCGCCATGGTTGTCAACCATTACAAGCTTAGAGGGAACATCTTGAGCTACAATCTTGGTGGTATGGGTTGCAGTGCAGGACTCATTTCAATTGACCTTGCCAAACAACTTTTACAGGTTTGTTACCTCTCTACTTCACTAGTTCTAGCATTTCTTTTGTGTGGTTCAATTAAAAAAAAAAAAAAATTTTAATGTTATTACCCAATTTTTAGTTTTTTTTTTTTTTTTTTTTTTTTTTTAATATATATACCGGCACACACCGCATGAATTAGGATATTAATTCATCTCCCAATAAATTGGTTAGTCATTAGAAGTGATTAATTAAATAAAATGCTACCTCTACCAATGTTTTAGTGGTTTTGAGTCTTAATTTTCTAATCCTAAACTTAGCCGGATCTCAAGATTATTAATACAATAAAACGAAAGAAAAACAAATTGTTATCATAAAAGCTGTGGTTGGCGAGAAGTTCTACAATATGGCAGGGATACATAATCCCCAGATTTTTTTATTCTTCGAATCATTAATTATTAATCAGGTGCGTCTTACCATCACATTCAACAATTATTTATCAGCCGAGTCTCACCACCCCACAATTATTTATCAGGTGAGTCTCACTGTCCCATCCAACGAGTCTCACTGTCCCATCCAACGACTAAGAGACTTGAGAATACAGTGCACGGGATTCTAAAATTTTTGGTGATTGGGATATAACCATCTACTGTAATTAATTGTTATTGCAACTGCATGTGCGTAGGTCCAGCCCAACTCGTACGCCCTGGTGGTGAGCATGGAGAACATCACTCTCAACTGGTACTTTGGCAACAACCGATCAATGTTGGTATCCAATTGCCTCTTCCGAATGGGAGGGGCCGCTGTCCTCCTGTCGAACCGATCCTCAGATCGCCGCCGTTCAAAGTACCAACTCATCCACACGGTCCGCACCCACAAGGGCGCCGATGATCGCTGCTACGGCTGCGTGTTCCAAGAGGAGGACGAAACCAAGAGGGTCGGCGTGGCCCTCTCCAAAGACCTCATGGCGGTGGCCGGAGAAGCCCTGAAAGCAAACATCACGACTCTCGGCCCACTGGTCCTCCCAATGTCGGAGCAGCTACTGTTTTTCGCCACACTGGTTGGAAGGAAGATCTTCAAAATGAAGATAAAGCCCTACATCCCGGATTTCAAGCTCGCCTTCCAGCATTTCTGCATTCATGCCGGAGGGAGGGCGGTGTTGGACGAGCTGGAGAAGAACCTGGAGCTCACCGACTGGCACATGGAGCCTTCGAGAATGACACTGAATAGGTTTGGCAACACATCCAGCAGTTCATTATGGTACGAGCTGGCTTACACCGAGGCCAAAGGGAGGGTGAGGAAGGGTGATCGGACCTGGCAAATCGCTTTTGGTTCCGGTTTCAAGTGTAACAGTGCTGTCTGGCGCGCACTCAAGACCATTGATCCGGCCAAGGAAAAGAACCCTTGGATGGATGAGATTCATGAATTCCCTGTTCACGTGCCCAAAGAGTCGCCCATTGTTTCTTCAAATTAAACTTTGTTTTACTCCGGATAATGTTTGTTTCTCTAAATTAATCAAACCATGATTTCTGGTACTACGTGGGTAGGTTGTGTTTTGTTGTGTTGATGATTGATGCAATGTGATTAAACACATGGAATGAATTGTTGCTTGACTGGATATTACATTTCTCTTCCTCAATTTGGATGAAAATATATATTAGGCTTCATGTTAGATTTGGATGGATTATTCAATCATCCAAAAGATTGGTTTTCTTGTTTCCAATAAGATGAGAGCATGTTTGTGTATTATTATTATTTTTTTTTTTTTAGTTGGGTTGATTTTTTAATGGAATGAGAAAAATAGAGGAGAAAGGAAATATATTGATGTGGCAAAAAAAATTGCACATCATATGTGATCGTGTATATTTTATATAAAAAAATATTTTAACAGACGATTAGAGACGCTCTAATGTGATTGGATTAGTTCCAATAGTCAAATTAAGAAAGGTATATTATACCTATTTCAAAAAGAGCAGGGTTACTCTGTTTGAGAATTTTAACGAAAATCTTTGACTGAACACTGTTTATTGACAAGATTCAAGGAAGCATGAAAAGCATGATTCTCATTTTCACATATTTGTATGTCCAATCAATCAATAATTTTTTACTAAGCATTAAGTTAAAGTCGATCCTCAACCTTAAAAGCATTTTTCTTTCTAAAAAAAAGTATAGACAAGTCAAACTCAAAGTAAAAATTATTTCCAAAATAATATGAGAGATGACAAATTTCTCTCAACAATGACTTTCACAGCCAATCAAGAACTCATATTTTGAATCCCAAGGATTGGCTCAAGCGATAAGATCACTTAGTTAATCCTGGTACCTCATGAGCATGAAATTCGGCTCCCACTGAGTGCAACATCTTCGTGGTTCATACTCTGCGACTTAATCGGCTCGTGGTAGAGAGTGTCCTACATGGATCATTAATTGGGAATTACTCAGGGCGAAACTCCAAATACTTCAAAAAAAAAAAAAAAAAACTTATATTTTGGGAATAGAGATTAAAAATCCCCACTTTTCCTATATGTATGAATGTATATAGATAGATATAGATAGAATCTACTCTTCCTTGACTTCATTAACTAATTCTAAAAGCGGACAATTTTATGGCATATATACTTCCCATGTCATTTCCTGAAGAGAGAGCATAGTTATAGAGAAGTTTGGCGAATAGTTGATCGAGGAGGGTCAATGAAGATTTGGCTCAGAACAACGTTTTTGCAATTTCGGGGCCAAGTGGACAACATCAGACATCGATCACACATGGTTGTTCACAAGTTGGAAAGAGAGCTCTCCCAACAGATCAATGAATTGGGGCTTTGCATGATGCTTTTATTGTGGCAGCAAATTAGATGGAAAAGCCTGACAGCTCACTGGGGGTAGATGCCAACATCTTATATATATATATATGTATATATATATGGTTTTTTTGCCCTCAACTCGACAGGTGAGATTTAAGTCGTTGTCTTGTACAATGGAGGGAATTCGGACACACACTCCATGCACTGAATACATAAATATTTTATTAAGAAAACAGAAATATGCTTTTTGATTGAATTGAATCACTAAGTGACTTATCCGAGCTATTTATTAATTTTTCGACAAACCCTCATGATCATTCACAGACCTAGTATATTGGTAGTTGCCCCCCACTGATTTGTTTTTTTTTTTTTTTTTTTTTTTTTCTTTTAGTATTATATAGTAATAGATTTATCTCTTTTTGACTTATGTACCTATGAAATTTTAATAGCCTCCCTAAAATTACAAATATATATATATATATATATATATATATATATATATATATATCCACCTATTACTTCCTCACACAATTTTCTGGTCCATCAATGATTGACAAAAAGATATTCATATCAATGAAGCTGGAAGGATCAATTCCTACATTTTTCAATTGGAAAGAAAAGTTCTAATTTTTCCTAGCTACTTCCAAATTTTCATGCATATTGCGTGTGTTGTAAGAAAATTTAACAAATACAAACATATATATATGTGTGTGTGTGTGTGTTCCTTTCGATTAACCAATCCGTGTGATTGTTTTGTTAGGAAAAACAAGAATTTTATACGGAAGCTTTATCGACCGACCAACCAATTTATTATACAATTAATAAATCTGAAGAAGTACAATATTGTGAAATTATGTTTTCCAGTCTGTCATCATTTATATTATAATAAGAAAACCCATTTTAAGTGAATGTCTTTTGCTCTTGGTTTCTCTCGGTTGGGTGTCTGGTTGGTTCATCTGTCGTGATTGGAAGGTTGTTGGTTGGGCGCAGAAGCTTTAAATTGAAAAGAAACTCATATTACTATTCATGAGATTTTGTCAAACATGGGTCCATAGTTAGGAGGACGATGCATTGTAAATTTTACTTTCTTTTCATTTATTTCGGTGTAAAATATTGTTTTCGGATAATATTTATATTTCAGATAAATTATTTTTTTCTTCATCATTTGACAAAGGTTAATTCAATCGTGTTTGACATATAAGATAACTTGTTGTAAATTAATGAGTCATAACAATAAGTGAATGATGATATTTAGTCATTTTAGATCAAATATGAGTATTCTCGGATAAAAATGTTACGGTCAAAACTCCACAAAAATTTAGTAAGCATGCAAATTTGGTATTTTAGGTGTTTATATGAAGGATAGAATTTTGTTAAAATGCATCTCAATCTACCAAAATAAAAGTTACCGTACTAAATCAATTTTTGACAACCAAGAGCTTGCAGTTTAATGTTTGCATCAAGTACTAGTTAAAGTATTAAATTTTAGAAAGCATTTTTTTTTTTTTAAATGATGCTAATCAAGAATTAGTTGAAGTATTCTACACGGACACATGACTATGAAACTTAGGTAAAGAATATAAGTCCAACACTTTAGATTAGACAAGAACCTTTTAAAAAATAATAAAAAAATATATCTAATGGTTCAATTTTATAATATTTATTGTTTAAGAGGGGTGAATTAAATGTTTACATTACATAATACACTTTAGATTAGACAAGGACCTTAAAAAAAACATATCTAATGGTTAAATTTTATAATATTTTATTATTTAAGAGGGGTGACTTAAATGTCTACATTAATTATTATGTAATACAAATATATTATTTTACTCCATAAAATAAAATATTTTTTGTACCTTTCGGTTTGAATAATGTCTAATGTTTGCACACCACACGCGTCCAAGTCAAAATAGCTTCTAACATAAACTAAAAGTTTGAGAACCCCACAAGCGTAAATTCAATTAACCCTTGGTCTCCCATGCTCGAGCACTGCATGGCATACCACTAGGGCACATGGTCAAGGATGGATCCAGAAATTAAAGGGAAATGAGATATATTAAATTTTTTTATTAATTTTAAGAAGGGTAAAGGTAATATTTTAACAGTATATATATCATAATGACAAAAATAATGAGACATAATAATAAATAAAAAAAATTATTCCAAACTTTTTTTATGTTTTGCATACATTGACCAATTAAAAATATTACATTAATGTATCATCTACAATTCTTTGATTTTAAAATTATTTTCCATAATAATATGCATAATATATATATATATATATATATATATATATATATTTGTGTGTGTAAACTCAATTAACCATTGGTCTCCCATGCTAGAGCACTGCAGGGCATATATACACCACTAAGGCACCCATTAATAATAATAGAGTAGTAATACTCAGAGCGAATTACTCTTGATTGGTCATTTACGTAAAAGATAAAAAAGTGGAGAGTCTTCATTTCTTTATAGGGAGGTGATATTCGTACTCTACTTTTCTGCACTCACACTACACTTTTCTTTTTTCTTTAAAATGAATGACAAAAATGCCCCTAAACTAATTAATGCATCATTTCTTATTTTATTATACCATAACTACCCTTTCTAAACCAAGTACTTTCCAAAAGTATGCCAATACATCCCGGAAAAAAATTAAAAAGGAAAATTATTCTCCTTTTCTATTAAAAAGGTGAACAGATGACGATATTTTTTTAGAAGAAACATTCAGCCGCAACACGGTAAGGGTCTCTCATTTTTATGCCCCCTTTTCTGAAAAGCATCTAAGGTTTCGGCTAAGAGGGGGTTTCACCCGGCTTTTGGCTTCGTGCGAAAGGATTCATTTTTTTTAAAAATAAAAAAAAAAAAAAAAAAATACTATACCCCCCCTTAACCCCACGTACTGCTTACGAACAGGGAGGAGAACAAGAATTGAATATAGTAGCACTACTTTTCTTATCTCTAATCATTCCAACTGGTAAAGAAGGCTGTGGCAAGTGAATTTAGGGTGTGGTTTAGTTTATTATTAAAACACACACAAATAAAAATAAAAATAAAAAATTGATTTGAATTACAAATGCTTAAACATTAGAACAAGTCAAAAAGTATAAAAATTATATATAATAAACATCTCTCTGTCTTTTTTTTTTTTTTTCTTTCACAAAATTCTTGTTCATAGAAATTTTATTGTTAAAACAATTAGGGCTTTTCTCAACAAGGTAAAGTTTAAGATTTAAAGACAATCCAAATTAATCTTAAAAAATTACTTAAATCGAAAGAAAAAAAAAATCAAATTAAACTCAAAGAATATAATACAAAAAGAAAAAATTTTTAAAAAATTACCATCACCATTGGCATCCATGGAGTTGAATGGCTCATGAAAGTTTGATAGTTCTTCCGTACTTCTCGTGCTAATAAGATCAATTACTTTGTTCAATTCTACCATGTCTTCATCTTCGAGATCTTGCATGTTACTTGCAAAGATAAATACTAAACCCTACGTAAAGAGAGAGGGAATGCAAAACGCCAATTGAGAGCTAGAGAGGCAAACGAATATATTATTATTATTTTTTTTTTTTGGTAAATCAATATCTTTCCATAATGTAAAGGGTAATTGTGGTACTTTTAAAAAATTATTATTTATTTATAAAAAATAAGGATAGAATAGTCACTTTCTTTAAGAGTGAAGAAGTGTAGAAAACTGAAGTGCAAATATTGCCCCCTTTTTTATATTTTGTATATATTAACCAATTAAAAATATTCTGTTAAAAGATTCTATTTTTTTTTTTTTTTTTTAAGTTAGCATCAGGAA